GCCCCGCGGCTGCGCTTGGCGTTCCCCCGTGGCCGGGCCCCTCGTTCCCCCTGCGTGGACTCCTGCGCCGCGGTGTGCCCGCTCTGGGCCATACCCCGTGCCCACAGGAGCCAAAGGAGGCCGCTCCGGGCTCCTTCCTCCTCCCCGCGGCCTGGCTCTGCCCGGGCCCTGCCGTCAGCACCGCACGCACAGGCCAGCGCTGGCTTCGCCGCCCCTCGTGCCGCCCAGAGCCAGCGGGCAGTGGTGGTGGCCCAGGTTTGTTGCAGAAAGGACGGGGCAGGTGCGTGGGCGTAGCGGAGCCCTGGGGCGTCCAGGGGGACAGGCGCACCTGAAGGAGCGGGACTGAGCCCCGTGCAGGAGCCTGAGGGCCGGCGGGTCCTGCCAGGCCGCGCCTGGGTCAGGGAGGCGGTCTGCGGGCCGCTGGGGCTGGAGGGCCGTGCAGGTGCGCCCAGGAGGCCGCGTCTCTGTGGCCACACGTAGTGTCACCCTGGAGCTGCTCACACATGCGCGTTTCTGGCTCCCCACCTCCCCGGTCCGGACCCCTGGTGGCCCGGACCCCTGGTGGCCTTTGCCAGCTGGCAGGTCCCCCAGCTGCCCGAGAGCCACGGTGTGGAGTGGGGGCGTCTGGGGGCAGGCGCTGGGACTCCTCTTGGGGGCTGGGTGGGGAGCCCCTGTGTTGGGGTGCAGGAGGAGAGTCAAGCAGGAAAGGCCAGAAGGGCGGCCGGAGGCAGGCCGCCGCCCTCCAGCGAGGCCGAGAGCAGCAGGCCAGGGCCCGGGCATGCGGTCAGAGGCCCCCGGGGTGGCCCCTCCCGGTGCTCCAGCGGGCCCTGGGCCCCTGCGGAGCTGGCAAGGGCCGGACCTGACAGCGCCCGTCCCGGGCCAGGATTCGGGACCCGGCTGCACGTCATAGGTGCAGGGGCAGTGTCCTGTTGGTCCCGAGTCGCTGGCCCCCGGGCCTCCCTCGCCAGACCGCGGTTCGCGGACGCTGGTCTCTTCCAGCCTGTGGCCGCCCGGTCTGCGGGGCCCCCGCCCGCGGGGTGAGGCGGCCGGGCCTCGGGCAGTTTCCGCGCGCTGGGGCCCACCGCGGCCCCTGCTCTGACCCCTCCCTCCCTTCCAGGCGGAGAGGTTCGGCGACTCCTTCGTCTTCGAGGGCATGCTGAGCGAGCGCGTCAAGGCCGGCATCCAGCAGGCAGTAAGTGGCGCCGGGCGGGCGGTGTGCGTGCGCTGGGCGGGGACGT